AATTTGTAAATTAAACTATCGATCCTTCATAACCTTACATGAAATATGGAAAATACATCTCATAGATTACATCTACCGGTAATTCTGATAATCTAATTATAAACGAAACATAATAACTTTGTCAGTTTATTCTGTTGAAGGTGAATTAAGGAATAACAATTGAATTTTCTCACAATCAATTGAGTAGAAATAAGGACTCTATTGAATTTAAATTAACTTTATCTTTCTCACAGGCCAGACGTTACTGTACTATCGATCTCGCCTAGGTTTTATCAGTACTCTGTACGGGATTTGTTATCCAATCGTGAGTATTGTGGCGACACGATTCCACAAGGTTACAGGGCAGATTTCACATTCAAAGCAAACCAAACATCCTGCCAAATCACCTTTATTGTAAAAGTGGTCATTAAACATATATTTATTTGCCATTGTAATGTAGAAAACTACTTATTTTCCATACGAGTAGGTTTTAAGACTGTATAATTTGGAAAATACCGGACTGTCGAGTGGAAAAGATGAGTGACGTCGGAATTATTCTAACGGCCAATTATCGAATCCAGTCGGAGGTGATGATGAGACCGATGCCAGGGACAAACTGAATTTCGAGTCCCATCAGGATAAGATAGCTTTTTAAAAGGCTTGGCTGGGTCAAATTCAATTGTAGAATACATCAAATATCAATCCTCAAATCACTTTGGGGATCTATGCTTATTCATTTTTTGTTTATACCTAGGTTTTGAGGCTACAAATAGCTCTTATATAAAATCTAAATTCACTCTATTTCATTTAAAGTGATGAAGAACTGATAATTTTATTTGTTCTACTCTAATATGATTAGACCTCATGTTTTTATTGAATTTCACTTAGAATGCAGTTCTGACCTCGCCTAAACTGGTGTCAGTAGTGCACTCAGAGGGATTTGAACCCAGTTTGTGGCAGTACAGCGTATAATCTCGGTATGTCACCACCAAGCTACCCTGTTGGGAAGTAAGACTAAGTGAAATTCGGTACAAACATGAGGCATACTTATACAAATTGTGGGAAAAGTAAACTATTCGTCTTTAAGCCCCCTCAGCTAAATAGACTGAATAAAGCTCTTATACGCGAAGAAAAGTTTGGTTTCAGGGAACAATTTGGCTTACAATTGTTAAGCATATTTCCATTTTGAGCAAGAGTATGGTTAGTGAAAAGATCCGAAGGTCGATTCCACCAAAAGATGACGGTGGATTTCTCTAAAACAACTCTCGATTGGCCCTACTGGAACGTTCTTGTTGACGCTATTTCCGAGACAGTCTCTGTCAAGTCCTCTGAAAATCGGCCAACATTTTGTCTGTCGTATGAAGGGAATCACCGGAGCATCAGAATCATCATTCTTAATAAAGATACTTAATAGACTTGGGGATAGACATGGTGTTGAGCTGCCCGAAAAAAAGAGGCCAATCAACTGGCATTTCTGATATTGATTTTAATAAAAGTCACTTTTATGTAATTTTTAGCTCACTCTTTCTCTCTCTCATGAAGATAAAAAGCTCATCAACTTAACCATACGTGTGCCCGACATTTTTGCAATCAAAGTGATGATTAATATATATGTACATACAAAAATGGGTGGTGGTGGTGGTCGTCAAACCTTGATGGCCGAGAACAAACATTACCTGAGGACACACAAACAAAGACAGACAGACATGGTTGACATATGACTTGAACTATCCAAATCATTTTATATCTCCTGAGATAAGATTGTTACGGAGGCCTTCATTCTTTATGAAAATGTATGAATAATAGATGGAAAAGTTGATCTTATCAGAAGACGACGGTTGAATAGCGTTGTATTGCAGCCATTTGGCTTTAATATGACATTCAGGTTGATGCAGTTTACGAGACATCCCTGGCTCGCTTTGGATGAAAACGGATCACATCAACATCATCAGAACTGGAACTCATTCTTGTCAAAATGTCAAGTCAACACTCGGTCATGACGACTATCCGGCTCTATCACACCTCTTATGCATACTCATAGTCAAAAACGAAAAAGAATAGGCATAGATAAATATAGAATAGTTTGGCCAATTACCTTTTAGGGTCAGCAGAAAATATAATTAGCCTAACTATTCTATATTTATCCATGCCTGTTAATTTTATTTTGTTCAATTGAGTCTATATAAGAGGTAAGATAGAGAAGGATAGTCTTCTTGACCCAGTGGTAATGTGATACTTTTACTAGAATGAGTTGCAATTTATGTGATGAACGAAAACTTACGCCTTTTTCGTTAGAAACGAGAAAGGATGTATTACATCATCAGGAACGTGATATTATGACCAAATGGCTGTATAACTAGCGGAGTCGACCGTCGTCTTCTGGTGGGACCAAACTACGAATCTCTTCTTCCTCCACTTGAATACGAAATGCAAGTCTGCCCAACACATTATGCTTCATAAAAGAGCTTAGACCTAGGGTGAGCAGATAAGATTTCTTACTCATTAGCTCGACTAAGATTGTACGAATAGTGTGTGAATAAAAACCTATCGTTTCATAATTGTTGGGCTTATTTATATTTATAGTGAAAGCGTTTGGTGAAGATATTCAAAGGCCGATCCCAGAAAAAGACGACAGCGGATTGTTCCTGATCAGCTGTTGACGTTGTTGTCAACTGTGAAAACGTGCTTAGCTCTCATTCGTTGTATTACGGTCATCTACAAAGCATCATCACTATTATCTTTACAGCCATATTCAAGCTAACAAGTCAGGAAAATTCAAGAAACTTGTCAGTTTGAATCTGGTTGTAAAGTTGATGTTGCCAATGCTCCATGTTATGTCGGACGAAAGGTTAGCACATTTTAGCCCAGAAACTAGCCTCAAATAGAATGTTCCAATAAAGACAATCAACAGATGGCAAAGAAGAAATACGCCATCGTCTTCCGGTTGGACCAACCTTTCCCTCGAAATGTAAATGAGCTCAACAAGAGCATTAATATGCTTATTCGTAATGTTTGACACTTTTCTCGAAGTCGTCGTGACAACAGAGTCCTTGCTTACTTATGGGATAGCGACAAGCGGCATTCGTTCCACTCGTTCCCGAGGCGCCCGGTGATGCAAGTGTATCCGATCCTGCCGGAGCTGTCCACTCCATGGAAGTGGACCTTTGGCCTGACGACAAAGGTGAAAATGGTGAAACGCCCATCAGACCCCCACCAACTGACACCGGACCAGACGGAGAGGTCTGATTGACCGCGTGGTACAGAGAAGATGTCATAAGGCCACCTCCCCCGAGGGTGGGCGGCCCGCTGCCTCCAGACAGGGGGCCCATAGAGGACGGTGACTGGAGGAGGAGGCCAGTGGAGCCAGCACTTCGGCCAAGGCTGGCCGGGGTTGCTGGGCTGTTTGGTTGACTGGGCGACAGACCGACACCGAGATTGACATCAAATGAACCGATTGATGTCAGGCCACTTCAGGTTGGATGGGCGCGAAAGAGAGAAAGAAATAAGAAATTGGAGGTGACAAATTAAATGGCAAACTGGGCTAAAGCGAAACATTCTTGAGGCAAGCGAAGCAAGAAAAGTGATGCTTGAGAAAAATGGTATATGATGACAAAAATGTGATTGAATCAGAGGAAATGATTAAAAAGTAAAAACAGGCTGTAGGCGGGGAGTGAAGTACGCAACAAACAAAAAGTGATGCAATAGATTAAAGTAGACCAATATGTGAAATAATGGGTCTGGATGAAGTTATAGTGGGGCTCCGGTGATGTGGACAGGGAGTGCGAAAAATGGGAATGTGTTGGTAAGAAAAGAATGACAAAATGCAGATGATTAAAGTTCTAATTCAAGATTTATTGATGCCTTTAAAGAATACTTTTGTAGAAACCAATCGACAATCTCACTTTTAACAGAGATACTTGGCTTTCGTTTAAAGTCGACGTGGTAACCTGTCGTCAAGGCAAGAGGCGAGCATAATTTTGGACATAACGATTTCGCCGATCGTCAATCTGAGAATTGATGCTGACGGAGCTCTTGTTTATGGCCGGTAGAAAGAGAATATTTGATGTATTCATCCTGTTTCGTTTAAGGTGATAAAGGATTGGTAGTAGAATTTTTTCACAATTTAATGAGTATAGCTGACGTTTCCATTGGAGTTCGCGTATAATGTGAGGTAGAGAACAACTTTTGGGAAAGCAAGGCTCTGTAAAATTCAATGGAAACGTCGGCTCTACTCATATTATTGTGGGAAAAATCAACTAGCAACAACTAATTTATCTGATTTACTGACAGTCTCGAAAACCTACTCATTTATATTACTTATTTTTCGTTTATAAGCAGCATTTCGAAGCAAATAAGTAATGAAGTCTATTGTTAAATCAATAGAAAATCTCACGAAAGAATGTGATATAGGAAAATTAACGGCCTCCTTAGAAATTCACATCTACCCTGTGAACTCAGGGCACTCGTGGCAATATGGCAGATTTGGTAACATTTCGAGTTTACACGCTACACTGTCATTGTTCGAGTCCTGTTAAAGGTGTTGCTAAGACCTAGGAGAGGTCGAAACTGCAGTCCACTCTTGCCTGGATGAGGACAACCTTTGCGAAAGCAAGGCTACGTGAAATTATATGGAAACGTCAACTCGAATCATATCATTGTAGGAAAATTTATCACCTTAAACGAAATAAAGTGATAACATCTTATTGTAAACGAAAATTAGAAAGACAATAATTTTCAGGTCATTGGATGATACAGCGTCTGGTGGACACTCGTGGAATCTGCGTCTGCCTGATTTCCGTCACACATCACTTGACACTAGTCACCCTCTCCAGATTGTTCATGTTGAGGGTATAAAAGTGGTTTGACCTGTTTTCGCGATTTAATCATGTTGCCATGACAACTACTCTGGACACACCTTATCCCTACCCTTCTGACTGATTCGTTATGATAAGGTGTATATTTATCCTATTTTATTTAAGATGATCAAGCATTTGTCGTGAAATTTTTCCACAACCACAATGCATTTTACAAAGCTCTACTTTTCACAAGGTATTGCCATCCCTGTTGTTGTAGACGGCCGTTTCCACCGTGTATCAGTTGATCTCATCAGTACCCCCCGTGGGACTTGAACTCAGTTTGTGATAGCGCACCGTCTAGTCTCGACACGTTTATCATTTTGCCAGACTGTCACAAGCGCTCTTGAGTCACAGGACAGACGTAAATTTCAAGGAAACTTCGAATTTTCCAAATCACCTTATGTGATGGTATTGTTGATAAAGCAAATGTGTATTTGCTACAACAATCGACTGTAGTCCAGTCTGGATGTGAATACTTTTTGAGATGGATGGATATGTGAACTTTATAGAGACCTTATGCCTACTCATAGGATTGTGGGAAAATTCAACTATCAGTTTTTAATCACTTTCCACGAAATAGAGCAAATACAGCTCTTATATCAGATGTCATCGAAGTCTCAAAAAGCCACTTGTGAAAACTTCACTCACACTCATCCAAAATGTTAGATTAAGCTCATCAACCAAATCAGACGTACCAGATTACGCAGCCCCAACCATGCATTTCCTTTGGTGCTCAAACGTTAATGACTGATTTCGTAATTCCATTTACACACAAGCTTAAATCTCATTATCTCAACCATACTTGCCTACAGACTTACGCAGCCTCGGTCAAAACTTTGTC